TGCTTTCCCTCGTGAGCAGGGATTTCAGAGCCTGGTTTCTGAAGCTGCACATCTGTGTTCTCCACCAGCTTGTCCTCTGCAGAGAGCTTGGCACCTTCCTCACCCTTTTGGCCTTCGTTTCTTGAGCTGTGAAATGGGGATGGGGAGAGCCCCACCCACCCCCTCGGTTGCCATGGGGATGAGAACACGGACAGCTCTGGCCAGTGGTGGTCATGCAGCACCTCGGGAGGCTCACTTCAGTTGCTCTTACCACGTTGCATTAACAGCAGCTCTGGGCTTTTAGGGGGCCATGGGCTGCCCTCCTGCGGATGGGATCTGCCACCCTCAGGTACCATGGGTGTGGATGCTGCTTCTGAATCTTTATCATTCCAGTCCCTCCACCTCTGAAAGCATCCATTTGTCTTTCTTTTTCTTGGTGGGAAGCAAGGGTCGTTCAGATTAAATTTCAGTCTTCTCCTTTGTAGCTTTCAACATAAGAAATCATGACACTTGTATGTAAGGTGACATGGGCTTACATACATGGGTGGCTGATGCTCAGCCCTCGGGCCTGTTACTCCCATCCTGTTCCCCAGCTCTGGGTCATCTTTTACTTGGACATGGTTTCAAAAGGGAAGAAAAAATTACAAGACAGCACAAAGAACTGCTGTACACCGAGATTCACCAATTGTTAACTCACACTCCACCCTCCCCATCACACACACACACACACACACACACACACACACACACACACACACACAGTTTTTTCCTGAATCATTTGAAAGTAAGCTGCTGATAAGCCCTTTTATCCCTCAGTATTCAGAGTGTGTTTCCTAAGAACAAGGACATTATCTTATGTAACCACTGTGTAGTAATCAAACCTGGGGAATTTAGCATTGCTACAATTGTATTATCAAATCCACAGGCCACACACAATTTCATCAGTTGTCCCAGTAATGTTCTATTGGACTATATTCCCAAATTCCAGATCACTCCGGCATTTGGTGGCTATATCTTCCTAGCCTCCCTCCACCCTGGAGCCGTTCCCGGATGGTTCTTGACCTTGACGTGTTTGAAGAGTGCAGGCAGTTGCTTGTAGAATGTCCCTGGGTTGGGCTGGGCCCTTCCTCCTCGAAGCTCATGCTGTGCCAACAGCTGTGCTGTGTGCCCTGTGACCCTGGGTGGTCCCAAACGGCCAGTCCACATTTTGTACATGAGGCATAGGGAGGTGAAGTGATTGGTCCCTGGTCACGTTCTTAGGAAGGGGTACAGCTGGGATTCACACCCAGGACTGCCTAATCTGCCTGCCAGGCCATAGGAATAACAACAGCAATTAGACTCTGAGAAGCACAAAGCATTAATCCGGCACTTAATGCGGACCAGACATGATGGTAAGCATTCTGCAGGTCCTGCAGTGTGTGCTCACGTCAGTCCTAAAAGGTAACTGCTCTTTCCAGCCCTGACTTACAGGTGATGATCAGAGAGGTTAAGCAGACTGCCCAGGACACACAGCTGTCAACTGGTGGGGACTGGTTTAGACCTGGCAGCCCATGTCCTGAGTTGCCACGTGTCACTCTGTATTCAGGCCTCTTGTATTTCACAGAATCCAGGGCAAACATAGGAGCCTGCCTGGAGGCTTTCACTACCTTTGCTGGCCCTCTAGGAGAGGTGCAATAATACCTGTATTTGTGTCCTTTTCTGGGGCCTTCCCCCAGGTGAACAAACATCCCAATGCCAGGGCTGTTCTCAGGAGCTGCCTGGGAAGAATATCCCGTTCTGCACTCCTGTAGGCACCACAGCCTACCTCTGTGGTCTGTTTGCAGTGAACAGATGGCATCTTGATGATTTCCAAGTCAGGAATCCCCATGCAGTCAGTCATTTCATGGCTGGCTTTCTTTCCTGCCAGTGGCGCAGACCCTGCCTATGGGGTGTGTGGTCCTGTGGCCATTGGTGTCCCTGACTGGCCCCATGGCCCAGGCAATGCCCAGGTGGCATTCGAGGCCACCTGCTCCAGTGATGAAGTGGCCTTGCCTGCAATGGAGTTAGCAATTAATTATTCAGTGTGGTAGGTCACTCTGTACGTCTTACCTTCTTAGTGGAGAAAGGAGGATAATACGCTCTAGCTCTGGGGTTGTGGAGAGGAGTGGAAGCTCCAAGGTACCCGGAATTCTCCTGACAGAGCAAGGAAGGTCCCAGAGCACGTGGCTGTGCCCCCCAGCTGCTCTCACCTCCTGGGGACTTTGGGGCCGAGGGTCTGCCTGTCCCTCAGGCTCCTTATTCATCAGAGCACAGCGGTGGTCCCTGGCGTCCCCCAGCCCTAGCGATGTCAGGGAGGTATCGTCAGCATCCTGAGAAGGCCCGTGGTCACCCAGGTGCAGGGTACCTCCATCAACCACAGGGCAAGTCCGTGTTCTGTGCTTGGGACAGGGTGTCAGGCAGGCGGGTCTGGGAGGAGCAGCCGCCTCACCTTCAGGCCCAGGCCACAGAACTGCTACTGAGCCTCTGTCCCCTGCTTCCTCTTTGCTGCCATTGCTGGGTCCCATGGGAGGCGGAGGGCCGAGTGGGTCTGGTCCCTCTGCACTGGGTCCGGCTCCTGCTTGTCTGGCTTGTCTCTGTGGTGGGAAGGGACCGTACCGCCTGCTGGGCTCAGTAGAGGTGAGGCTGTGACCTCCCCACGCTGCCCGCCCTCTGGCTGGGCTGGCTCCAGGGAGAGACTTAGAGATTTTACTTCCTTCATTTCCACGGAACATTGCTCTGTGTGTGTGGTTTAAAACATTAATTAAAAACATTAATCAGTTTGGCTGCCTTGGAAAGAGGTTCTCTTTCGGCAGGAGCTGATGTCCTGTGTTTTTGCTGCCTCCCTTACAAAGAGGAGGGACGTGGGTACCACCTGGTCAGCCACCTTTGCTGTTTGGTGTCAGGCAGCTTCCTGAGCCTCTCTGATCTTCAGTCTCCCTGGCTGTGGAATGGGGAGGAGGGCCGTAGGGGGAACAGACCTCGTGCCATTGTGGGCACTCGGTGAGGTCCAGGAGGATAGCCCAAGTGTCCTGTATGTGCTGCGCTTCCAAATGGCACTGTTATGATTCATTACATTTCTCTGGTACTTTATAGAGTGCATCTTGCACACACTGCTCAATAAATCCTGGCAGCCCACCTAGGAGATGGGTGAGGGTCACCATCCACTCCATTTCACAGAAGAATAAACTGAAAAGTGAGGGTCACATCAGGCCTGGGGCTGAGGACCTTTGACTCAAACCTCAGACTTTCACCTCGTTCTCAGCAGCTTCGCTCGTTCCCTTGACCCTGTGTCCTGAGCCCCCGCATCAAATCAGTCATTGTGGTGAGATGGGAGGAGGGATGACCTTTCGTCCCTCTTACTGGGAGATGATGAAGTTAAGGCCTAAGCGTTTCCTGAGTGGCCTTAATAGTAGCTGACATTTCTAAGTGTTGATAATGTGCCAGGCCAAGTGCTGAGCTCTGCAAAGATTCTCACTTCACACCAAGAACAAACCGTTAAGATGAGAAAGTGAGGCCCAGAGGAGAGTTGCTCAGACTCCTAGAAAGATTAACTAGTGGACTGGGATGCCAAGCCAGGGGTAGTCTGAGGAGGCCCACCATCAGCCAGGAAGCTGGGTTGCTGCCCTTTCTGGGTAAGGAAGTGAATGCATTTCTACCATAGGCAAAGAGTGCTTTCCTGGTCAAAAGGCCTGCAAAGTGTGGGAGGTTGCCCAGGGTGGGAGCATGGAGGTGCTGAGGGGGCATCTGTCTGAGCACAGAGTCCAGTCAACAGGACTCTCTGAGTGAGGGGACTGGGGCTCTGGGCACAGATGGGTGAAGCCAGCACTTGGTGGAAGGACACAGAAATCTCTCGGGGCTGCAAAGCTGTTGTAGTTTTGTGTGTACTGCTCACACATCCCAGGGAGGAGTGTGACAACCAGAACACCTCAGAGAAGCAATTTAGGGCCACATAATCTTCCTGGAGGAGAGATTAATGGTCGGAAATCCAAGCCACCTGGCCTCTGCTCTCAGCTGTGGGGCAAAGTTGTTTTTCCAGCTGTTTCCAGACTTGAGGGCAAATTCCCCTTCAGAACTTGTTAGTCTTCTTATCTGAGCCTGTGTTCACTGAGCCCCATCTTCTTGATCATTTGGCTGCCAATGTGCTTGGGGCTTTTGGGGGGCAGGGGGGAGGTCTGGAAGGGGAAGGGACCACCTACTGTAAATGTAATAGTGTGGCTTTCTGTGGGTGCCGCATTGTCGCTTGGAGGACAGGAGGTCAGTGACCAAGCTCACCTGGCTGTGGAGTCACCTGCTTCGGAGTATTCTTAGGAGGTCCCCCCCCAAGCCAGTTAGGCCAGGGGCAGCCCCCTTGCCCCATCTCCCACCCTGCCCTGACCCTTTTGGCCACCACATGAAGTCATCTTGATTATCAGTTAGGATAAGAATCCCTGGTGCGGCTACATTTTTTGTTCCCTGAGTAATACCTAATGTCCACTGATCACAAGTTAGGAGATGACAGTGCTGAGCTCAGATAAAGTTTACAACAAGGTTAATCTGATTCAGCTTCCTTGATTGACATAATCCCCCTATCTGTGGAAGGGGTTGGGCATCCAGGAACAGGCTATTCTCAGAAGGAAGTTTTTGTGTGTGTGTTTCATTCCCCTCTACCCAGAATTCCTTCAGTCAGAGGAATTAAGAAGCTTTAGTGGGGAAGCGCAGTGAGATGGATGGGTGGGTGCTTGGTAAGACCTGACCATTAGCTGTGTCCTGGCCTCCTTTGCGACTTCTGAAATGTTGAGTTATCATGACTTGTTGCATAGGAGTAAATGGCTTAGTGTATTTAAAGGTCTAACACACCCTGCAACATAATGATTAAAAATGGCTGCTTTTCTGATGCTTCTCATTTAGCAGGTAGTAAACAGGCACTTCTTGGTTTTCTTATTAAATAAATGAAACCTCTCATTGCCAAATCCATTTGGTATGACTGTCAATACTCATAAATCTCTGTCCTTGTCTATTTCTAGAATCCTGTAATACCTGGGACTTAGGTGTCTTTCATCTGAAAAAAACACATGTTCCTTCAGTACACCAGAGGAACTTGAGAACTGTCCTTCCCTGAACTAAAGCTGGAATATCTTGGGATTTGGAGACGGAAGGTAAGGGATTTTCTCCTCTTGAGCTTTATGGGACCAAAAAATTGCTTTTGGAATTGGAGACGTCTTGCAATACAACTTGGGTTGTGGTTCTTCACTTCTTGACCTGGCTTCCTGGGCTGACCCACAGTGCTTGGGAAGCTGGCTTCCCGTACCCTTACCTTGACACACAGGACCTGGTTTGGCCGCCTGGACATCGTGCGACAGGAGCCCTTCCTCTGTCCCTAGCCAAGGAAGGATCCCACTCCTAGGCAGTTATCCCACTCCTTCCCTCCCGGCAGAAGGTGGAAGATGTTCCAACTGTCCTGCTAAGACATGTGGAGACTGCACGGAGGAGAGGGTGGGAAGCGTGTTGGGGGCAATGTGATCATGGCAGATGCCTTTGGGGTCATCCAGAATGTGACCTTTTCCTCCTCCCTTCCTCCTTGCGTTGCATGCTCCAGCCTTGCAGGTCTTGAGGCTGCCGGCGTTAAAGGGAGGTGGTCAAGACCTGGGGCTCCACACAGACACACAAGGTTTTCCTGGTTTTGCTGCTTGCCTCACCTGGGACAAATCACTCAGCCTCTCCAAGCCTCAGTTTCCTCATTTGTAAGATAGGTACCTTATCAGCTCCTGCCTCAGCAGGATGCTGTCAGCATTGCATGAGGGTGGAGGTGCAGAGCATAACTTGCTGCCTGGCACGGAGGAGGAAATGCTTCAAGACAGGAGCATTTTTTTTGTTTTTAATTCATTAACTCCACCAGGTACAGTTCATTCTATACCACAGGCTATTTTGAAATCCCTGGTCTACTTTCTCTCTGCCTATTGCATACCACCAAGTCTCCCTGGGAAGGGTCTTAGGATCACCTTCCTGGTCATGCATGACCCCTCACCCCAGCAAGGTTGATTACTCCCTGCACTGGACTGCAGCTGGCAATTTAGGGCAGGCTTCCATTATACCACGTGATTCCTTCGCCATCCTCTGCCTGTCCCTGCGGTCCTGACCCTACCTGACACTCCCACTTTGGATACTGAAAGAACAAATGAATGAATAATTGAAAAGGATGGAGTAGAGAGGGAAAAAGAGAGAGACGGATGGAGAGAGAGAAAACCGAAAGGAAGTTTTTAAAAATTTAGAGCAAAGAATGAGGTCAATCGCAAATTTTTAAACAAGATGTTGAAAGTAATAAATAATATGATAAAAAAAAAAGAGAAAGAAATGTGATTCGTACCACAAATTTGAAAACCATGTAAGGATGGACAGCATGGGCTGGTGAGAAGACAATTCAGGACGTCAGAACTGAGGGTAGTGGAGAGCTGTGCTAATGTGCCATTTCTGTTGATTTTTTTCTCGAACTTTAAAGTTTTCACAGTGCGTCTGTATTTCTCATGTCCTGTGCTGCTCTGCGGTCCCATGACACAGGGAGCTGGAGAGCAGGGGTCCCTGCCCCTGAGTCAAGGTGGGGGAGATGCCCCATGCACAGGTCATTCCAGCAGTTATGGGGGAGGCTTGCGGGGTGCCCTTCTGCCTTCTGGGAGGTTTCCTAGAGAGGACAGCCTCTGGAGACTGAAAGATGCATATGAATGAGAACTCCTGTCGCTGAGCTGATTTGCAGTGAAGAAGTCTCCCTGTCCTATCAGCTCCTCTCTGCACTCGCACCCCTCATTCATTTGTGGTGCATTATCTGATTTCCCACTTCTGGGGTCAGAACTGAGTCTGCAGTGAGTACAGCTGATGGGCCTTCCCTGGAGGTGCTGTGTGCCTTCTCTGGCTCACAAGCACTCAATCTGTTCTTGAGTTTTGCTTTGGGGCCCTTGCTCCCAAGGCAGGCAGTCGGCCTTGGGGACAGGAGTGTAGTGGAAGTGCTCCGCCTTTTTTGTGGTCCCCATTCCCTGTGGCACTTGGAGGGCTGCGACAAGCTGTTCCTGTTTTGGGGGTTGGGGAGGGAGGGGGGAGATGGGACTCCGGTCACTGGGTCGGAGGGGCTGGAAGCTGGGAGAGCCATCCCTTGATGCTGTGGCTGCCGAGGGGGGCAGTGTTGCCTGCACTTTGTGGACAGCAGAGAGGTTTGCAGGGTGACAGAAAAGGGTTCCCTAGGAGCTCGACTCTAGGCACATGGCACAGGGGTGGTGCTGGGCTCTGGAGACCCACAGTCTTGAACACGTCTGGGGTGGGGCTGGTCTGAAGGGGGCGCTGAGAAAGGTCCAGGCCCTTGGGCTCCTGCAGGTGCTTCTGCTGTCCTCCAGGCATGGCTTCCAACCGGGAGCCTGTCCATCTGCATCCCTGCCTAGAAATCAGCTTGCCTGGGCTGCATGCCAGTAGGTGGGCGCCAGCACCTACCCTCCGTGGGCCTGGGCCCTCTGCCTCTTCCTGCCGTGGAATAGAGGTGCCAGTGCCCCACCTGTCACTCCCCCACGAGCCTGGGCAAGTCCACCAGGCTCCACACCTCTCTCTTCTCAGCTGCAGCATGGACCAGTTCCCACTCGGGGTGGTCACGCGGAGTGCAGAACCTGGCCCGAGGGAGCGGCCAGCGCACTGGAGCCCTCGCTGCTGCTTCTCTTCCACCTCCTCGCCCGCCTGGCTCCTGACTTCCTCAGTGGCATTCTCTCCTCCTGCCCCGCCTTGGCCCCAAGTTCCCTTTGGCCCTCTCCGAGCCGTCTGGGACTCTGCTGGCCCTGCCTCCCCCTGTGAGCATCTCTGGGCTCCTGCCTGATACTTGGTACCCTCAAGCTGGCCCCCTCTGGCCTTTGGTGAGCGAGCATCAGAGAGCTTCTGCCGCCTGTCTGTGGGCCTGAGCCAGTCCTGGTCTTTATCCATAAATGTGTAAAAGCTGCTTTCTGTATTCACTGTCTACAGTATTGAAAGAACTCCTGGCCCACTTGGAACTCTACACTTGAAACAGAAACATATCTCTGAACACCTCTGGTATTAGCCCATTTTACTATTACTGTTTTTTGTGGTTTCATATTGAGGTTTTTGGCTCACTGCATTTGACCTGGAGTTTATTTTTAGTAGTGAAGACAGAGTTCATCTAATGTCAAACCATGCAGGCGAATGCAGAGGAGGGATTTGTAGGTCTAGAGGAAAAAGTGCCTAATTTTGTTTCTTCTGATACCATCTGTCACACCATTAGATGCCTGGCTTCCTCCGAGGTGCTACGATGGGTTTGTGTAGAGGCAGGCTTGGGCCACCCCTGAAAACGAAAGCATTTCTGCCTCTCTGTCAGTCCCATTTGCCCAGAAGCTGGCCACACAATGAACACCCACTGCAGATGGGGTTATGGGATACTTACGACAAGTATTGGAGTGAAGGCCAGGCTTTGGGGTCTTCGTTTCTGATGATCTCCTCAGGGGGTGTCATTGTCTCCAGAAGCAACATCTGACTTCCTTGAATATGAGGAATCTTCTCTCTGGATTTTAAGTGTTGTGAGAGAAAGCTCTGGGTCTTGTTATCTCTCTTCTCAGCTTTTGGCATCGTGACCGGGATACAGGACGGGCTTGGGGAATGTTTTCTTGAATAGACTGAATTTGAAGACACTGAGTTTGGGCGAGAACTCAGAAATGATGCAGAAAGTGCTCCTCCTTCAAAGGCTCCTCAGGCTGCTTCGGGGAACAAATGAGCACCGCTGTCTGCTTGGGACTTTACGGTTTATGAAGTTCTTTCTTGTCCTTTCTCCTTTCGTTTACACCGTGGCTGAATACTGAGAACCTGCAGCATCCCACTATGCAGGCTGCCAGGAATAAAGACAGAAAAACCACCATTCTTGCTCTGAATTGTTAGGCGCTGCTTGTTTGTACCCCCCTCTCCCAAATGCATATGTTGAGCCCCTAATCCCCAGTGTAAGGGGGTGGGGCCTTTGGGAGGCGATTAGGTCATGAGGGTGGAGCCCTCAATGATGGGATTAATGCTCTTACAAGAAGAGACACCAGAGCGTAGGTTCATTCTCTGCTGTCAACAATGTGAGGACACAGCCAGAAGGTGACCTTCTGCAAACGAGGACCTGAATCCACTACCCTGATCTTGGACCTTCAGCCTCCAGAACTGTGAGAAATAAATGTCTGTTGTTTAAGCCAGCCAGCCAGTCGATGGTATCTGGTGACAGCAGACTAAGACACCCATACTTCACAGATAATGGATTGGAGACTCGGATTGCATTGATGAGACCTCCTTGCTCTTTGCTGGTGGATCTCGAGTCCAGACATGCATCTTCTGACTCTGGCGCTTGAGCCCCCACCCCACGCCGCCCCACCCTGATCTGCGGGCATGTGGGACTCTTGCTGCTGCTCCTCTGCTCCATCAGCCTCCCTCTCCCTCTGCTTCCCTGCCTTTTTCTCTCGTCTCCCTTTTCCCCTCTCCCAGCTCTTCCTACTCTGAAAACGAGGATCTCTCTCTGCATTGCCTCTTCAGGGAAGGGATCCGATGATAAAGGCTGTGCTGAGGCTCCTGCCTGGGGCAGGGCTCTGTCGCATGGGATCGCCTCCCCTGAATCTGTTGTGGTGACTGATGTGATGCAGCAGTTTCCTCCCTCCTCCTGGCCCTCTCCCACTTTCCCACTATGAGCCAGGTCCTGCACCAGCTCTGCAAAGACAACAGAGTAGAAAAACAGTATTCTGGGGAGAGACATTGTATTTGCACAGTGGTACGGACTGAATGTTTGTGTATCCCGCCCCCAGATTCATATGCTGAAGCCCTGATGCCCAGTGTGGCTACATTTGGATTAAGGAGCAATTAAGGTTAAGTGAGGTTGTGAGGGTGGGGTCCTGATCTGCTAAGGATCAGTGTTCTTCTAAGAAGGAACGCCAGAGAGCTTGCTCACCCTCTCCGCCGCCATGCAGGACACAGCAAGAAGGCATCTGTCTGCAAGCCAGTAAGGGAGCTCCCACCAGAAGCCCAGTTGCCTGGAACCTTGATCTCAGAGTGTCCAGAACTGCGAGAAAGCAAAGTCTGTTGTACAAGCCACCAGCCCCTGGTATTTAGTTGTGGCAGGCACAGCTGACCAAGATGTGCAGTGGGGGCCCAACTC